CCTGCTTTATTTTAAGCACCATTAAAACAGTCCACATTCTGTTTCTCTATAACACATTTGTACCGGATTGTGAGTGTCAGTGTCCAGATGTCATGCTCTGGATTTCTCCCGCTGACCCAGTTACTGTAGAGAACAGCTTCCATCCTCCAGACAGATACACATACACCTGCATTGAGTGTGTGTTTGCCCTACAGATGGGAGCTGAGGATTTTAGTCCTCTAATATTAAAGGATGACACAGCGAATGAATTTTAGAATGGTGCAATATACACTGAATATGCAAGATATTATATCACAACTATTAAAAAAATTGTAGTTACTTTTTAAATGAAATTAATACTTTAATTGGCAAATGATACACTTAATAATAATAATAATGATAATAACAATAATAATAAATTTAATTTGTGATGCGCTTTTCTCAAACCCAAATTACTATGGAACAATAGAACAACAATAAAAACATAAAATACCAAAATGCAGGAATAGTTAAAAATGTTTGAAATCCTCATAGATTAAAAGCAATACTAGAAAGGTGAGTCTTAAGCAATTTCTTAAAACAGTCCATGGATCTGGCATTCCTGATGATTGTAGGTAAAGCATTATACGCGCGGTAGGAGAATTATCTTCCTCCCATAGTGTTAAATCTGCAGCGAGGCAGAAACATATCCGATGCAAAACATAAACAGTGAAAAGAAGAAGAAACAGTCACCAAATCACAGATGTAACCAGAAGCAGAACCATGAACCGCTTTATATGTTAAAATCAGGGTTTTAAAATCAATGCATGACTTCCTCAGTGGCCTGTGTAGCTTTTGAAGTACAGGGGTAATATGACAGCGTGACGATGTGTGTGTCATTACACATGCAGCTGAGTTTTAAATGTGCTGTAATGTCCTTAGAGAACTAGCTGGTAGACCCACAAAAAGTGAGTTACAGAAATCTAATCGAGTTGTGATAAAGGCATAGACAAGCCTCTCAGCATCAGGTTATAAAAGAAAGGGTTGAATGCGTGCAATGTTCCATAGGTGAAAGAAAGCTGTTTTTGTTAAATGTTTAAAATGGGATTTTAAGATAAGTTGAGCATTAAGAAGTATGCCAAGATTGCGCACCTGCAGAGAAAGTGACAACTGAGAGTTACCAACTAATAGCATAAAATTACTACACATATTAACATTAGAAGGGGTGCCAATCAATAGAATCCCAGTTTTGTAACTGTTTAACTTTGGATAATTTTGCTGCATTCAGGCTTTAATGCCCACCAAACAGGCATTAAGCGTCAACGTTGAAGCAGATAAATTAGGAGTGGTACTAATATAGATCTGTGTTGTCGGAGTAGCAGTGATAACCAATACCATTTTTTTTGCAAGATTTGTCCCAGAGGGAGCATACAAATTCTAAATAAGAGTGAACCAAGTACTGACCCATGGGGGACCCTGTGGCACAGAGGGAATGTCTGTGATCTTAACCACCCGATTAGACGAACTGTGAACGTTCTGAGATAGGAGATAAACTGTTCCAGAGAGGCCAATACAATTTTAAAGCCTGTCCAAAATAATAATAAATGGTCAATATTTTATTTAAAGTACTATTTTATGATTTCCTTCTTTGTTTTGCAAATAAATTCAACATTGGTGAATATAAAAAGCATTCAAAAACACACAAAAAACAAACATATACACGGTCATCTTCAGAAAAATTCAACTTCAGACTTAAACTATGCTCTACTAATCTCTGTAGTACATTTTATGATTTAAACCCAGACTGTATAATCTGCATATAAAAAAGCAACTTACAAAGCATATTGTTTTATGAATCATTATACCATATTTTAACCAGGCAGGCACCTGGTTAGGACTGTTATGAATGATTTCTGATTGTTTTACGTGTATTTATGGTGTTAAGTCTTGGTGCAGTACTCTGTTATCTAAATGTCAGGAAATTAAACTCTACTGATGTCAAACATAAATACTGCAATAAAACCGATGTGTAATTTACAATGGATACAGAAATACCCAGTGGTAAGCACACATGCATGCATTTCTGTATGTAAACAGTTCATAATGTGACTGTGTGAGTGGGATAAACCATATAAATCAGCTGAACCCAACAAGCATGAAGGGTTTTAGTGTCTTTCACCCGTAACTGTAGCACGTGCACTCCTGGCAGCACTCGGCCTGTTGGCATGTTTATTTAGATTAAAAAGCTTATTTGAGATTGCTTACGAATTCATCAGCACTAATGCTTATGGTAGCTCATAAATCCACACAATCAGTTATTAACAGGAGAGATTGGAGGTTGTCTCATTGAGAGGGTTTTTAATCAATTTCAATGACTTTTGCAGTCGTTCTTAATTTCTGGATAAGGATTTCTACTTGCTTTAAGGTAATAAGCCTAGATTTAAAAGATATAATTATTACACTTATTAGTGGGGGGATACAGTAGCTCAGTGGTTAGCACTGTCGCCTAACAGCAAGAAGGTCGCTGGTTCAAGTCCCGGCTAGACCACACATTTCTGTGTGGAGTTTGCATGTTCTCCCTGTGTTTTCATGGGTTTCCCCCACAGTCCTTGCACTAGGTGAATTGATTAAACTAAATTGGTCATAGTGGGTGTGTGTGACAGAGTGTGTATGGATGTTTCCCACTACTAGGTTGCAGCTGGAAGGGTACATGTAAAACATATGCTGGATAAGTTGGCGGTTCATTCCGCTGTGGTGACCCCTGATGAATTAAGGGACTAAGCCGAAGGAAAAACAAATGAATGAATGAATTATTACATTTAATAGTGTACAAATCTTAACAACAAAACAGATTTCAATGTGGCTCAGTATAGGGCAGTCAGGCCCAAAACAGCTTTACTTTTACTTAAATATTATTATAAAGTATCATGCCCAAAATTAGAAAGATTTACAACATCTCTTTAACAACTGCCAGAAATGTTATTAATCTCTGACCTTACTAAAAAGCCAAGAGCGCTTGGGGTTACACAATCCTCATGGCATGTTACACTGCCAATCCAAAGGGTTTAAGGACTGCAGATTTCATTTGTTAAAAATGTAGTAAAATGATACTATTTAAAAACAGTATTACATTTTCTATTAAAAGCTGAATTATCAGCAGCCATTACTTCAGTCTTTGGTTTAAAATGATCTTTCAGAAAATATTATAATATTATGATTTGATAAAACAAACAAACAAAAAAAAAGTTTTTTATTATTTTTTGTCTCTTTTCTTTTAATCAAACAATTATTTGTATTGGTCATGTAAGGGTCATATATTAACTGAACTTCTAATGTTGTGGGTGAGTGCTGTGCATACTAATTAGCATTTTTGCAGAAGTAGATAGATGCGGGTCCAAAATTAAATTCAGCTCTGCAGAAACTTCCTGTCTGAAGAGAGGTGTTAAAACTGAACACAGAACACAGAAAGATGTATACTTTGTTGTTGGGCAGAGAATTCATAGAAAAAGAGGAAGTATGCCGAAGGGGCGGCCAATGGAGGACTGAACAATGACTGACAAGTGACGTTACACCAAAACTCCACCTGTTAAGATCGGTGGTGTATATATGCTGAAGTCAGGAAATATATGTTAGTTGCGAACCTCTTGAATGTAATTCTTGTATTGCATTGGGGTAATGTAACCCAGAGCTCTGTCATCGATTTATTCATTTGTATCCAATAAATTGTTACGATTTTTGACATTGAAGAAAAACCTCTCCAGACCTTTTCTCTTGAACACGCATGGAATTGGCTTGATATTCCAACAGCTGCCATTTCATATTTTTATAGAAACTGCGATTGTTTCATTTATTCATTCATTTTCCTTCGGCTTGGTCCTTTTTATTCATCAGGGGTCACTGCAGTCAAATGAACTGCCAACTTATCCAGCATATGTTTTACATAGTGGATGCCCTTCCAGCTGCAACCCAGTAAACACCCATACACACTCTCATTCACAAACAAACTATGGCAAATTTAATTTATTCAATTCACCTATAGTGCATGTTTTTGAACCGTTGGGAAAACTGGAGCACCCAGAGGAAACCCATGCCAACACGGGGAAAACGTGCAAATTCCACACAGAACTGCTAACTTATCCAACCGGGACTCAAAACAGCAACTCTCTTGCAGTAAGGCGACAGTGCTAAGAACTGAGCCACCGTGTCGCCTCTGTGATTGTTTCAATTATAGGTTTATTTGAGTCTACAGATTGTGAAATTTGAAACATTTTAGAAGTTTTAATGTCACTTTTGATCAGTTGAAGCTGTCCTTGGGAAGTACTATTACAATGTTATTAAGTCTTCATATTGTAGCAATTCTGATATATATTTTGACAAACGCAATACTGAAGACTCATGTTTCCGCACATTTCTTCAACTAATTGTTTGAATTACTGTGGGCAATACAACGTGGCATCCCTCTGCCATCTGTACACTCATTCATTCGTTCATTTTCTTTTCGGCTTAGTCCCTTTTATTAATCAGGGATCACCACAGAGGAATGAAACTCGTTCTGTACACTGTAACAGGTAAAAAGAGTCTTTGAAGTAATATCATGCATATTAATAAAGTTGCGTCTTGTTCACAATAGAGCATGCTGATTGATTTGAACCAAGTCTTTCTCATGAACTAATGAACATATGTGCTAAAACTCAATGGCGTCACTTTGTACAGGCCAGTACAGACAGGCAATCTCCACGCTGGAATTTACACAATGATCTCGTAGCTGTGACGTTGTTTCAAAATTTCTTTATAAACTGGTCGAACAAATTTGCTCTAAACAACACAAAAATAAACAATATTCACTTAGCTAGATATATAATAGTCTCCTAATAGTATTTTAGCAATGTGGGACACATACAAGACTGTGAACATCTCAGAAAATGCGCTTTGGTGTTTTGTGAGTCTTTAAAAAGGTTTTAGCCTGAAATACACGTATAATTGTGTAACTGTAGTGTGTTAAGTAATACATTGGTAATAAAAGAGAAAGAAAATACAATATGTGGGGTGTGGGATAATATTTTAATTATGTAAAACAAATAGAATAACTTTTAATTGGTTTTAATCCTGACCTGCTGACTGGAAAACACTCTTGGTCTTAATTTTAAGGTTTAAGATTTTTTAAAGGAACTTATAAACATTCCAGCATGTTGATATAAGAACAAAAATAACACCATAGAAAAATAGAATATATATATGTACACTTTTGTTTGTACATTTAAACATTTTAAAGAGTTGACTAACATGAAAACTATTCCTGCTGGCTTGTAAAATGATGAGGGTGATTTCCTGTCATTTGGTACAGACCAAGATTTACATGAATTGTCATGCCATTCATCATGTTATTCCTATTATATTTGAGGCCAAGTTCTGTTTTTGAGTTTCTTTCGGGGGTGTATTTCAGATATGCAAAAGTAAAAATGCCTTCATTAAAAGTCTTTACGCTCTGATTTGAACAGACAGCACATTTCCTGTCATTATCTAAAAAGTAAACATAAAACCCATTATGCAATTCTCCTTTGTTAAAATATTAAGATGCTTAAGATTGCAGCTCGTGAAAAAATAATGTAAAATTCAAAGGTGATGTGGCATTTATCATTCAGATTAGATTATTTTGTGGAAGTTCAACTCATTAGATGCTACACTCGAAACAGCAGGGTGGTCCTGAGATGGTATGCAGATATGTGTTCAGAGAGTGAAAGCTACATGTATATGGTTCAGGTGGTTTTCCTGCTTCAAAAAGGTTTTGAGCTGGAGTCTGTTGTGAGACGGGAGATATATGCTTCATAGATGGTGTCAAGGAATGAAGCATCATTCTGAATCACAGAGAGAAACAAACAATTAGAAATACAGCAACAAACATGAGCCAAGAATGCCCCATTGAATCAATCAATCATTTAATGTTTTACACAGTGTTTTTGTTTTCACTTTTGTAACTTATATCTTTAGAGCAGTGGTTCTTAAACTTTTTTCATCAAGTACCACCTCAGAAAAAAAAATAAAATAAAAAATTATTTAAAGGAAGATTAATTCCTATTATTAAGAATATTTATTATTGTCAGCCATTTTAAACATTAAAAATAGTTTGAACATTAACACTGTACTGTGCTTATGGGTAAATAAATAAATAATTGAATAAATAAAAGTCAATGTTTAAAATAATTAAAATGGTAGGCTACTGTTCTCAAAGTAAAAAGAAAACTGCTGTACTTAAATGTCAAGTAGTAACAAATAGTACCCTATTCATTAAAACCTGAAAATGTTGATTGGACCTCATAAACATGGGCTATATGTCATCATATTTATATATAAACCATTTTTGATAAATTTTGAAATATGTGTTGTAGTGTTGTTGTGATTATAAAAGGACTAATTATAAAGTAGAAAAGAGACAGGAGTTAAACATAATTATGAAGGTGAATTATTAATATTACTTGTATAATTAATTAGTATAAGTATCAGTTTGATACACTTAAGAAGAAATTATCGTGAACATTTTTAAATATTAAATAATAATAAGCAAATTATTAAAATACGCATAAACTAATTTGAAAAGGAGAGGGTAAAAATAGTCTAATACTTGCTTCTGTAACAGAACTTTTTCTTTCAGTCTGAAAAACACCTTTACACTTTAGCTATGAAAGCACTGATGCACTGTGTGATCTCTGTAGCACTCAGAGCAAGCAGAGCTGCAAATCATCAGCTCCATGTGGTTTGGTTTATTAATAGTTTTTTGCATATAGATGTCTGTGACAGTAGTTTTTACTGAGCTGATGGTTTATGTGCATATTTGTTGTTCCTTTAGTGTAAGTAAACATCTTTTTGCAGTATTTGCACACAGTTAGTGTTTTATTAGGCTCACTTCACTGCTTTCATTTTACGCTGCCCTGCCACCCCACCTTTTGCTCAGCTCTGATGTGCAGGTAAAGCCAGTTTCTGCCTGTAAACAGCGCCCTCTCTGTTCAAAACATGTATCGCGATTCGTTCAAAATTTTTATCGATTTGAATTGTCACAACTGATTTTCATCCGACTCACAGTAAATCATTACATCTCTATTTATCAATGAAGTCTGCACACATCCTAAAGCAAATACAATGCTTGTGGCATTTTCATCACCCAGGATCTGTAAGCACTACATCCTATAAGAACACAAATTTTATAATATAACTTAACTAGATTATATGATTCATAATATTATATAACTTGTTTATAACTTAGTATTATTGTTCATTAAATTATAACTTTGATAAAACAAATCACATAAACTTAATCTCCAGAGCTGCTGATTCATTTCATATGCATTTTTTAGTTTTAAGAACTATTGACCTATCCTGTACACTTGAAACACAATCATCTTCATAAGAACCCATTAAAAGCTTCACTCTTTTAAAACTGTTTAAATGTAAGTTTGGCTTGTTAAATTTCATCACTTGAAATATTAAAATTAGAAGGTTTTGATTACTTGATTACGATTAAGAAATTGATAACTTGAAATCAATCAATCATATCAATTAATAATAACAATACTACTATTTATAATAATAATAACAAATAATAATAATAAAATAAATGCATGATTTAGGAAAAAATGAAATAAAAATTGATTGTATCCTTAATTCTAACCTTGATGAGATGGAGCAATGTGGCCTGTAGCTGAGACTTGCTAAGTGCTCTTGATTCAACTGGTTCTGGATCTGCTCTTGTTACTTTAGTTTGAGCAAACACACTGGGGGAAAGAAGGAGGGTGGGGGCTACAGTCGCTGGGATACGCTGTGGTGACATCACCTGTACCCACACAAACACAGTAAATGACAGGTTAAACGTGCTGCTGCAAGAAACACAAAGGCAACAGATGCATAATTAATCAAACTAAAAATTTGACCTGTGTCAGATTGGTTTTGCTGAGATTGGAGCTGCTGGTGGTCAGACCTGGCTGTAGGACCTCCTGTTGAGGATGCAGCTCTTGCTCCTGCTGCACTAATGTGAGCTTCTGTAGAAGCTCATGAGGTGAAACCACATTACTTGTTACTCCAGCAGAGGGCACTTTATTTGGGACAAACAGATGCTGTGCTGGAAAGGGCCCCGAGGGCTTCGCCATGGAGTGGATTTGGGGCCCCATGCCAACTTCCCCCTGCTTTAATTGGATGGAGGGCATCACTGTAGTCCCTGCCACAGGAGGAGGGTTCATTAACAGTTTTTGTATTGGGTCAGGCTGGATCTGGACTGCTCCGTTTTCACACAGGCGGCTCTCTGGGGATTCAGATAGAGGCTGCAGCAGTGAACCAGACATGAGCTTGTGGATGGCTGGACAGTGCTGCATGGGGGTGCTGGACACCACAGCACCACCTGCTGGAGAAGGGTCATCATAAGACAGAGAGCGGGCCACTGAAGACCTTGCTGGGCCCATCCTGCCAACAGATAAGCTGGGCTGTGTTGAGCCCAAGTCTGGTTTTGGCTGAGCACCAAACAGTGTGACAACTGACAGATGTTTTGAGTCCATCTCAGCATCCTAAGAGAAAAGGATTACATTACATTACATTTAAAAAGGGCTATTTATTGAATCACAAATATGCAGAGAGAAAGAAATCGCACATGCTGAGTGTGTGCCTGAATGTGTGTGTCCTGTGCTGGTTTGAGGGGAATGGGTTTGATCAGATGGGGGGTTTGACCGTAGATGATCCCACCACTGCCAATTTCCTTTGGCTCACTGAGTTTTCCCTAAAAAGAAAAAGGGGCACAGAAACAAATTAAGATTTACAGTGCACTGATGACCTCTAGTGCATATGAAGCAACTTAATGCTTGTACAGAGAAAAGTCTCGTCACCTTGTCATAGTCGTTTCGTGCTTTAGTGAGCATCTGCATTATATCCACACCCTGCTCTGCTGATCTCGGAGAGAGACAGCCAGTAGCAATTTGCGCCTGTAACTGCTGTTCCTGCCCTGCCAAACTGACACAAGAGAAAAAGTAGGTGTACAGTACCTGACAACAAGGTTTGGAAATCAGTGAGCAATTATTGTTGAACAGTTTTATATTTAATACAGGAAACAAAAGATTTTTGTGACATTTGGCTTTATTACAGGTATTTAAAATATCCACCAAATGACCAAATTACAGATCATATTATTTAAATAATCAGTGTTTCATCGGCCGCAAAATAAACAGAAATAATTAAAATTATGTAGACAGTAAAATTTCAGAAGTGACAACAACATTGAAATACTTTTTTCAATTGTAAACATGTCATTTTTAGAAATTTAAATTTAATTTGGTTTGTTAAAATCAGTTGCCACTAGTGTTGGGGAAAGTTACTTTTAAAGTAATGCATTTCAATATCGAGTTAGTCCCCCCAAAAAGTAACAAGTTGCGTTATTTAATTACTTTTTAAGTAATGCATAACATTACTTCTGTCATTACTTTTTTTTTTGCTGGCTGTTTTTTTTAATAAAGGAGCTCTGTAATTAACAATGCACTGTTTAACCCATACATTCATTTACCTAAAACAAAAAAAATTAAATAATTTAAAATTTAAATAATTTAGCATGATGTTATTTTCTGAGAACTTCCTGACCCAAGAGCTATACATGCCGTATATACACACTTTATTGACGTTTAAAGCAATGTGTATGGTACTTTTTGTTAAATACTTTTGTTTTTTGTTTACTTTAGTTAAGTAAACAAAAATGTGTGGTTTGGTACTTTTTGTTAAATACTTTTGTTTTTTGTTTACTTTAGTTAAGTAAAATCACTGCCCATCAAGACAATTCCCTTTTTTCTTTTCTTCAATGTGTTCAAAATAATGAAAATACTTCCATCACAAAAATGTATGACAGCCATCTTCGTTTCTCTCTGTTCCTACGGGAGCACAGTCTCTCATTAATTCAATGTGACTAAGTTAATTTTAATTCAGCAATTACATTTATTAAAAGGTGATTAAATAAGTTAAAAAGTAACTTGCATTAGAAAACAGTAACTCCATTATTATTACTTAATTTTTTTAAGTAATGTATTACTTTTTTTCGTTACTTATATAATATTACGTAACTTGCGTTACTTGTAACACAGCTGTACATTTCTAAACTGTTTACAAAACATATTTAGGCAATAAAGAAGGTATAGACAACTAAATTTAGTTCCATTGTGAATGTGGCCTAAATGGAAATTATATGATAATAGAATGGACTACATGCACAGCTAGTATTTTTAGCCATTGATAAGCTACCAGTGAAAGCTTTACGTGGCTATTTTCAATTTCATTAATGTTCTTTTTACAGCATCAATGTTGTAATGTAATTCAAATACAATCAGTTAAACAGACTTAATCATTCATTTAGTTGTTCAAGTGTAAAATGAGATAAAAGCCTCCAGGAGCTTCAGGCTAGCGCAGAAACTCCATTAAAAATACTGTGGTAAAATAAAATTTCACATTTTAAAGACGTGGTGGGGTAAATGGAATTTAACGCAATGCTTCTTGTCCGGTCTGAGATCCACTTCATATTGTATATCTACCAGACTGTGAAGATCACTGATTTTGAAAGAAATCAGATCTTAAATGTGGCGAATTTGTAATGTAAAGACCTGAAATGCAAATACCCCATTAAGTGTGTGACCATGTTGTGCAAGTTTGCAGATGAAAGATACACATACTTCTTCATGAGTTCTGCTATACGCTGACAGTCCTCTTTATCATAGAACCAGATTCCATAGATGGACACTGCCAAAAAAAAATACACATACATGATAATATTAACCTCAGTCACTCATTTAATTAAAATCAATCAAGAGCAGAAGACTATAATTGTTAAGCACCGTATCAGAATTGTCAGTAGAAGAAGTCCATACATGCACTTAAACTGCCATCATACATACACACTCCACTCTAGCTGACATTCCTTTCCCAGACAGTCCAAACTCCCATGTGCCCAAGTAGAACTGGAGCCAAGTGCTCTGCCAATCCACCAAAATGTCGTTAACCACCAAAATGTAGTTGCCAGATGCTCGCATCAACATTCTGTTGCCTTTTTGAAGAACAACTGTATTGGGAACAACTAAGAGAAGTTTCAGTGACTGTGGTCTCTCATGAACTAAACTTAGAGACTGGTGCTGACAGCCGAATCAGGACCTGTTCCATTCACCTCTAGAAGAGATAACAAAATCCAAGGCAGTAAAAGAGAGGGAGAGGAAGAGAGAGAGAAAGAGGGCTGGTGCTATATTCACAACCGTTCATTCTCTGAGCGGAGAGCACCACACGGGTCAGCGCCTGGGGAAAAAACCCAAACAAAATACTGCCTGGGAACTGAGGAACACAACTCAGAGAAAGAGAGAGAGCAAGGAGAGGAGAACAAGGAGAAGAACGAAGAGAAGGATGAGAGGATTTTGGAAGCGCTTTTGAAGTTTAACTTGGCAAAATACACACACAAAAAAGAAAAGAAAAACAGAGACCTGAACCACACATTGAGTCAGACAGAGTGCAGGAGCATTTGCTGCGAGTTTTACTGAATGGAGCTGAATCCACATGAGCACTGAGGAGACTGTGAACTTGTGACCGACTTCAAATAGACCAAAGCTTCAATCTGCTGAGGATTCAAACCTCAGAAAAAAAAGGAGATGCTGCGGGGGCTGTTCAGTTGGCGCAGGCTGAAGCATGAGCGACTGGAGGAGGAAGTGGAGGTGCGGTTCAAAGGGAAGCTTGTATCGGAGAGAGAGCTGGGCTACACACATGTGCGGCCAGGAGGTAAGAGCTTTGTATACTTAACAGTCCTGCTGAAAGTCTCCAGCTATCCCGTTACAAATCACAACCACAACACTGCGTTTGTTTAAGAGATGAGTGGACAGAATCCAGCACCCTTGGCACACGAGGAGGAGCGATGGACAATGCAGGACTTCTCGCTGTGTGAAACCTAATTAGTAGTGTTTGTTATGGCCATATTGGCTCTACCAAGTATTTAGCTGTTAATCGGGTACTGAAACTGTTTGATCCAGGTCATGAAGGATTTAGGGTGGGACAATATTGGGGGGAAAAAAGTAACTATTATAAGAATTACAACTGCAATTTGACTTGAAAGTTTTATAACAAAAAATGTCAAGGCTATAAAAATATCTTAGCGACTTGTTTATGGCTGTAAAATATTTATGACATGCTTAAATGTTTTCCTTTTACTGAAGAGCCGTGGTTTACTCAAACACGCTCATACATAAATTCACAGCCTTTTGATATACTCACTAAGCCTCATTGCGATTTTGGTTTTATTTTAATTAAACATTCAGTCATTCTGCAAAGAACTCGTGAGGATTGTTGAGAACACCGGAGTATAAGCCAAAACACCTTAGCAATCGCATTGCAATGCACAAACAGCCACTAACAACATTTGACAAATGCAAATCAACTTCTTGGCTACCTCTCACAACATTCCAGCATTGGTGCAGCAAGATTGATCAGAGATAAAATCCCCTCAAGGGGAATTAAATCAGTGAAATAGTCTGCCTGTAAAATCTCACCTACATCAAAGTAGCCAGCACAAAGTTTCCCATCAGACCGTCAGCAGATGCACAGAATTTCACGGTCAAAGCTCATTATTGGACTGGCTGAAACATCAGGATCTACAATGATTTGTTCAATAAGCCTAAAGTAGTTTCTCTACTTTGAAAGCCTAAAGCTTTTCTCCATGCACTCTATTTGCAGGTCTCCTTATCATGAATTTCCTTGGAAGCCTGTGCATGTATGCGTGTTAGAGAGGGTTGTTATCTAATCAGGATTGGTTGGTCGGGTCTATGATGCTGGCAGGAAACTGAAAGAGAAACACACACTTCTCTGCACCATATAAGGCACTGTGGCTCTGGGGCCTCTCAAACAGGCCCGCCTGCCAGCGATCTCTGATCTCTCGTTCTCTCACACACACATACACTCACCAGTATGACAGCTTTTTCAATCTAGACACACTTTTACTGCAATTAAGCTCTGAAGTTTTTGGATGGATGCACTCCCTCTGCTCCCTGCCCATCTACACCTTGGTTATTAACATGTGTTTCTGTTTGACATTGATCCTCCTTAATACATGTCAAAATTCATTTATATCAGTCACATTTGAAGGTGGTCAAACTTTTGTCATTAGCACAGTCGGCTGATGTCTGTGAACACCATCTGTGTGCAGCCTGATTTTTTTTTTGTTCTTGCAGTCTAGTGCATTGAGGGGCCAGTGATTTAATGTGCTTCCACATTCACAGTCAATTAATTTTGAAAGCGTTGCTCACTAAACTGTGCATGAGATGGAGCAGAAAACTGAAAACAAAGTTTACCTGGGCCTTAAACACTCATAAATCTGAACATTAGTAAAAGACTACTTTCTCACCAGACAATCAACCTCTGAGCATTCCAAATTAAACACACATTACCCTTTGTTGTAAATGGTGATGCAAGCACGATCCCTAGACCTATTTGGAAATAAATAAATAAATAAATAAAAATGTCTGGTGATCTCATTTGAACAACCAAAAAAACTATATCACTATTTCACTGCCACTATTAGGGCAGAGCAGACGGATGCTGAGCTGCTTATCTTTTTGGAGGACGCCCAGCACATATTAAATGTGTCTTTATAGTGAACCCCCTTGTCTACCCCTACATAACACAATCATTAAGATACATTTTATTATTGACTAAAATTGTGCACAAGCAAGTTTCCTTTATATTATATAGTCTATTTAGATAATGTATAGCCTGTGGTGCAAACAAATAAGTGCGTAATATATGTTGACCCTGCACCTCATCATTTCTCTTGTTCACTTTCTCTTTCACTTATGCATTCCTTTCTAAAGCTCGTATCCGGATATAAACTAACATCATCACTGTAAGCAATAGTCACAATCTATTTTTTAGATGTCTGGATGATGTTTTTTTCTGTTTTAAAAACATTTTAGATGTGAGTCAGTCTGTTCCTGCAGGCGAAATAGAGCAAAGTGAATTTTAAATGACATCAGTGATAGCTTATTAATATGACCAAATAATAATAATTAAATCACTCTTTATCTTGCCATCTTGACTACCTCATGATAAATTTGTCTAAAGCTGCATGCGCCAGCCCAGGGAGAATGTAATTGATGGAGGAATATTAAAAAATTTCCATTGTAAGCCAAAAAAGGTTTTGTGTGCCTGCATGCAAGCAGTCCTTCTGAAAGAGTTTGTAGCATCGTCGTAAAGCTTTAACTTCAGAGAAGTGCATTTGTTTTCCTGATTAACTGATTACAAAAGATAACGAGCCTGAATGTCCTTTTGTTAAATTTAATTTGACAATAAATCAGCTAAATTCAGGTCCATTCATTTTAATTATATTTTTAATAAAATAAACACATTTACAATTCTAAGGCTGAATTTATGTCCATGCTTTTTCTTTATGCCATTAAACTTTTTTCTCGTCTTTCCCATTTGTCATTTCAAGTGTTAGCAGGTTTGGCATGCTGTCCCGAGAGAGAACCCTGAGCTCGGAGATAATTGAGCCCAGGGCTCCCTCCTGGTCAGTTAGCATGTAAGGAGGTACGAGATCAGGTAGTTCTTGAGAGCTTCTCTTGGTACAGGAGGAAAGGGGAAGATGGGGGGCATGGGGGGATTCTTCAAAAAATTAAAATGAGGGAGTAATGTTAGTCGGGCTATTTATAGTCAGTTTGATATAACGTGCTTCTCTCAAAATTAGTTTGTAAAACTTCACTTACTTTCTTAATTGGTCAATATATTATCTATAATGTCTATATTTTATTGTAACTGTATTTATAGGGCTAAATTAAATAAGTTTAGGTAACTGCATTTCTGAAATAATGTGCTTCATTAAAATATATATCGCTGACATGCTTTACCATAAACATTTGTGAAAAATGTAAAGGTAAATAAATATCATCTAGATAGAATACATTTACTTGACAATCTTATTTTTTTAACCCAATAATGCTGATTATCACCCAATAATTTAATGTCATAATCAACATTAGCCTGCTCAGGAGACATCATTGATATGTGATAATATTTTCTTATCACCCAGCCATCTCTCTCTCTCTCTCTCGCTCACATCACATATATTTTGACACACTGTATTATGTAAGGATTTCTTCATTTAAATCAACTATACATGCATACTTTGGGCTTAGCAATATTTTTGCAGTCTTTTGGTTTAGTCTAAAATATTTCACTCTGATGACTTTGAGCTCGTTCAACAAAAAGACAGACTTACAGCGAGCGTTCCTGTACAGGAGAAATGGATGCTGCAGCTGGAAATCCAAGTCCTTAGTGATTGGTTCAGTCAGGTTGTCCATACTCAAGCGATTGAGGATGGTAAAGCCATGCCTGGGGGAGGCAAGCCTGATACACAGAGAACTGACGTTAAAACTCGTAGCATGAGTGGGAAACTAAAGCTTATGAGTCTGAAGGACCTACAAAACTGCATGTGGGTGTTGTGCAGTGTAAGAGCAGACAACAGTGGTACATCTAAATGCTGAGAAATATTGTGCAGGTTATTTCTCTGACCCTTAGAGCCACATTAGATCTCTAGGGCTCTGATTTAGGGCCATACAGTACATGTGGGTGTTGCTTCACTGTTAAAAACATGTAAGAATCAAACAAACCTGCTATAGACAAACAGAGTTCCCTCCACATTTGTCTTTTCCTACAGAAAACCACAACAAAAACATACATTGATCTATTTATGTTTAAGTCGGAGAAAAATAATATTACAATTTAAAACAATAATATTATGTTTGTAGCAGTAGAAATAAATATCTCTATCCACTAAGATGTTATGTTAAGGGAGATGATCTTGTTGTTTACCCATTCATTGGTGTTGTTGTTAAAGGTGTAGAGTGCTACTTGGCTGGCTAGGTCTGTGATGCTGCTGATGTAGGGGTCGAGTCTCTTCAGAGCAGACAGACTCATTGATAAACAGCTCCCACCGCCACCTGTGCTTGCAGTCATGGCTCCAGCTCGCTTCTGTAAATAAAAACTTATGCTCTTTATTAAGATGTAATTACTCTTTATTAACATGTAATTACTGTACACCTCTATTGTATGGGTCTTTTGGTTCAGTTTGCATGTTTACCAAACAAATATAGTATTGTTTTATCTATCTATCTATCTATCTATCTATCCATCCATCCATCCATCATCTATATGTGGGTGTTGTTCAATAGTTTTGGGATAACTTTGATGAAAGGTTTTGATCCACTTCAAATGTTGTCTACTGTGTACAGAAATTAATGCGTCAGACCTTTGCAAGATTACAAAATGTAACTAAATTCGTTATTCTTAGTTATAAGCATTCATTTATATATTAATTTATACAATGAGTAAAAATGTGTGTGCATAAAAATACATTTCTTAAACTCGCATTCACTAAAATGTGGTTGACAAGCTAACCCTTACATGTAGTTACTATGGTATAACGAGTGGTTATATACTGGCCCGAGTCTAAAGAGTCCACCTCATCCTCGTCTGTATTTATTCTGGTCACTTTGACCGGTTAGGTCACCGTTGATGTTCATAGCACAAGCGCTGCGGGACATCGTACACAAGTTTAACACTGCGCTTGAGCGGTTTGTTAATATCCCTAACCCTGCATTAATAGTGTTTTTACTTTTTAAAAAATGGTATACATCATACATTCATAAGTTTACGAGTGAACTAAATAAGGCCTTGGTGAGCTGCGGTTGCTCTTTTATACATCGTACTGGAGTTAAACTTACCTCCACTTAAAATACGGCACAAATCCTAAAATACCTTTAAAAAGCAAAATTTAACTCTGTAAAAACAACACTTAAACAGCTTATTTAACGATCCGGTCTCCTTGTGTATGTTTTCAGGGATGTGCAAAGCAGTAAACAAGAATATAAGGCTTTATTTCACTTGTCTAACTCTCGTCCCGCTGCCGTCATCGCCATGTTTGCGCTGTCAAGAAGACAGAACGAGCTAATCGCCGAGCGCGCGCAAAGGGGAAAATAGTCGAGACAGAGTTACGGATGAGCCCCCAGCTGGCTCGAGCTCACCTGAGAACGCCAGCACGTTCGTTTACATCACGCTAAAGCAGTGAGCTGACGCTGCAGACTTTCTGCACCCAGGGGAACCCTTGAGGATACGAAATTCTTGCACTCCTGCACTATTGCTGCCTCGGTAAAGACGATGATTTGTAGTTTAGTTTTTGTTGCCTAATTGTTTGCGTATTCTTTCCAAAAACAAATGTTACAGTCCAGAGGCCCTGCTGCATTTGTAAAGTCCAACCGCTGTAATGTTACTGTGATTATTAAAATGGCACATTTCCCACCTGCAACTAGCCTACATAAATCTATAAATCTAAATGTACTGTTGTACCCCATTGAGCAGGGGCGGACTTGGGGCTCTAAGCAATTTCAGGTGTGGGGCCCTAGCGATGAAACTCAAAACACTCTCATTCTCTAAAGATTTTTTTTCAAAATATGTTTTAAACTCCTTTAATCTTCCTTAATCCTCTTAATGTAAAATTAAATACAATAAACTCACTCACACACAAGTTCACAAACTATACTGTATGTACAGTTTACTTGACATATTTATGATTAGTTTTTACATTTGCTGTACGGAGGAACGTTGCACTATTCATGGGGCCCCCGGTTTTAAAAAGAAGTAATGTTGTTAAAATCGTAATGGTTATAGACATTGTCATTTTTCAGGGCCCCATAATTCCCTGTAAGCGACTGCTTACTTCGCTAGTGAAGTCTGCCCCTTGAAATTGAAATAGGGGTTGCCAGTCTTTTAGATGTCATCATTATCGTCTTTAGTGGGACCTCTATCCTAAATGTAAAAGACACCTATACAGGTTTTCCCCATAAGGACCATTTTAAACCATGAAAGAAATATAAATGTATAACATATTGTTACACTGTCTCTCTATCTGTCTGTCTGTCTGTCTGTCTATATTTATTTATTTATAAATATGATTATAAATTTATTTTGTTTATTTAAAATGTTAGGCATTGTATTATTATTATTTTGTATTATCTACGTGTTGTGTTTGCTTTACTATGCATTTGTTTTTCTGTTTATATATATATATTTCCACACACGCACACAGGCTACATTTTTCTATGCTTTTTTTCTCTTTAGCATTTCCACAAAGCTCATTGCACTGCCCCATTGGCACCGGAGCCAAGATTGAAAATCCTTTCCTCTCAAGATAATTTACTCAACTGCACTTTATAAAGGTACCACTA